AATTTTATCAATGAAACACCGAAGTGATTGGGCTCTATTATGCAACCCGGAGATCTTTCGAGTAAACAGGAAGTGTCTAAAAAAAGTGCATTGTCAGCTGTTTTTGTTGTGACTAAATTTACGACAGGTCTCAATTACACCAACCTCGGAAAAGATTGTTTTCCCCGTGATGCTGTTGGACAAGGTACATGTGAGATAGGGGACTAGGGCTTTTTGGAGTCCACAGTGTTCATCACTAGAAATTCCATCGCCAGATGACTTCATCCGCATATACAGTGATGAAATGCATGGGTTAGATAAAGGTAAACGGTCTTCAGGTTTATGATTTGCTTCAAACCTTGTTTTGAAATAGTCACGTTTCCAGAATTAGCGGATGAGGGCGTGAGTATCACAGTGGATTCATTGTTAAGATATGATGGCACACTGGGTGTCACGTTGGGCCGGTATAGTTTAAGTGGTATCACACTGGAGTGGGATTTCCAGCCAAACACAGACAAATATGGTAGATTGGAGATCAACAGCAGTGAATGATTGGGTAGTTGTATTGATCAGCTCTCGTTGGTCGAAGGCGACTACCAGGTCGAAATGCAGCAACAAATGGGCACCAATGATGGGGTTTGAACGTGGGCTGGTGTTAAAAGTCACGCACAAAATGACGTCCAAGAAACGAGTCTAGTTTTAGGGTTCATTGATCGAATGTGGATAGGCCAGTATTACCTGCCGTCTGAAATGTGAGTTTTACAGATTTGAGGTGGTATTTCAGCGAGGAATGAAAGACGCTGATCCCTGAAAATTCTACCAAAATCTGCTGAAGTGGTCCGTTATGTAAAATGAGCGACTGTGGACACATTTTGTCAGCTACAAATAACGTCATTTTCAGTAGGTGTGCACCGATTCCCGGAACAAACATATTAGGGTACACAGACGAGCTCCCCGTCGAAAATTTGTTAACGCCAACATAAGGTGTTTACATGGAGTGTTCGTTAAAGAAATCTGTATAGTGCCGATCCTGGAGTAAAAAAGTAAAACTATCCCTTTTGAAGCAGATATATCACAGATGAAATTCGAACGGCTGGAGCTGCGTCATTATGGGTGCAAACTGATGCGAAATAAACTGAGGTTCCGTCAGACTTCGCAGTGTTGGAAGATCGTCCATCGTAGAAGAAATGATCATGAAGTTACTTGGGAGTTTGGTACGACAGACGTCCCCAAAGTCACTCGGCGTTTGTTTTTATTTTGAGAGCGCACTTCTAGCCTTTCCACAACCAAATGCAAAATGCAGGGCAGCTGACAACCTCGGAACTGAGGGGATCAATGATTTTAGTTTTAAGAGGTCAGTTACATCGACCTTTGTCACAACACTGTTATTGGGCTTATGTGGCTTTTAAACAGGAGCCAGGTGACCAGCTGGAAACTCACCACACCCTGGTAGTGGCGTCGCTGATTGCTCGCGATTGCTTAATTGTTGCGGTATGCCATAGCTTACCTTCCTCGGTAAATGTATACCCCTATTCACACAGCAGGGACGCGCATGGTAGCATTCAGCTCTGCGCAACCCGAGGAAAACTGACAAACTGTACACCAATCCATTGAGAAAGTAAATAAAACCCCTTTCGGTTGGGAATAAGCTGTGCCGTGGACACAAACAGATGCGCGCGCAGAAACCAAAAGATTTAGTTTTTCTGTGAGATCAGCTCTCACACCGATCCGGTTGATTAGTCACTGATTGTCACAATGTAACTGAGATCGAACACTAAAGCTGACCCTTGTAAACGTGGCGTTGAAGTTTGCAATTCAATTTCATCCTCTAATCAAGTTTGCATCTTTTTTCCTCACATCCTAAACAGATTTCATCATCACCAGATTGTAAAATCCGCTCTGATTGAAAAGTTACACGAACAGTAGGAACACATATTGTGTAAGATGAGAGAAAGTTATGTTCTTTCTTCCAAAAAACCGTACCAGTAATTCGTGATTAGGTACATATTCGCTGACAATCTTCATACTAACACAATAGTTTGCATAAGAATGACCGCTAAATTTTGTGCTCTAATAGTAAATTTGTTTCTCTGTAAATTTCATACCAGATACAGGTCACTCGTGGGCTTCAATTTCCAAACTATTTCGTTTTACAGGTTGATAGCATTATATAATCATCAGGTCGACGAGATTTTGGGAGAAAATAACATATCCCACCATAGTTATGTCACCTCTCATACAGCTAACGTCAACCGTGCTAAATATGCACTACCACTACTATCGTTTCAAGACACGCTTTTGGAGGGCGATTGTTTGGCAATTTTGGTATCACAGTTCACGATTTTTTATCGTCCTGAGAATTATTTTTTGTGCAGTCAATTTTAAGCAGCTTCCAGACTGAAAATCTCCCCAGCGAAATGAATGCGTTAGTCGCCTAGCAGGTGAGATTTAAACTCTTGAGTGAACGTTTACTCTACACTGGACAGTGAAATGAAGAAAACATTTTGGGAGTGATCGTTGTTAAGTCAAGTAATTTAGCCACCAATTTAATGAATTGTGTCAAAACGGTAACTCACTGCGTGGAAAGCAAAAGTAGACTGACAGACAATATATCAAAACAGCCAATTACTTCAGCTGTTTCATGTCTGTGTGCTTTTGCGTAAGTGCACCTTTGTGTACTTTGTACGTTGCGCAACAATATGACGAGTAACCAAATAGCAAGAGAGTTTCAAGTGTCCATAGTCAGTTGATATAAGAATGATTTTTGTGTGTCCAGTTGGCAACTGACGTCATCATCATCATAATTGCGTACAATGTTCTTGTTCTGTGTGACCTTTTATCTCAGAGGAAATGCACAAACAGGAGGGTTTGGGATAGCGAAAAATAGTCATCATTTACGGCGGTGTGGGTGTACAATAGAGAAATAACTGCTCATTCTAAATTCTCTAAATTCATGCAAAATTTTAACATTGGTGTTAACCAACTCCACCCACCACTTCACCCGTACTGTACAAGAGCCCAACATATTTGCCCCATTCAGTCTGACCGCATGCCATGATGATGCCATTGATTGAGTAGGGATAAATTTGCGCTCCCCCATCTGACATTTCTACTCAATGATGGTAAGATGGTGAAATTACCGAGATACACCCATATCGATCCGAGTTATTGAACTCTCATGATAGTAGGCAGGCTGGTCTTTTATCTGACGGAACAGGAGCTAGCACAAAAAATCGTGAAAACCACAACCCCGGGGTCGGAAGGCGGAAGCATATTTCGTTGTGGATAAACAGGTTAATAGGAGTGATCACCTGCTTCAATCCCACCGCTATAGGCTATGGTGTAACCAGTCAGTTTTTCGTAAACACCAAAATTAAATCATATGTTTCGAGGTGGCCCGATGACTCTCTCTCTCTTCGACCTTCAAAATAACTGAGAGTTCTAGATCGATTCTCTTATAATTGATCATTTCAAGTGTATTGTAAATAAACAAATAATTTGTTTCATACATCGGCTCAATCAAACCGGTTCCTAATTTTAGCCCCCCCCCCTCCCAACCCTCGATACCACTCACTTGGCACTTGTTTATC